TTTTCTCTGTAAGGTTATCCCCACCTATCTCAATAACATTCAATAACTAAACTTGATTGGTGGTTTTACTATGTGTCCTGAATGAGTGACAACCAGTCCTCTTCTACCCAGCTCTGGTTCTGGCGGAGCTGGCGCATTGCTCTCTGGGGTAACACAGCCAGACTCTGGTTCTGAAATAACAGCTGCAGGAACTGAAGTAGATCCATTACTGTTTTCCTCTTGATTGTTGAGCAATAAGTGCTGTCTGTTTCTCCTGATCACGTCTCCCTCAGATGTCTTCACTACAAAGGACCTGGGGGTACCCGCAGACTTCATAATCACTCCAGTAGTCTTCCATTGCTTCTCTGCATCTGTTTGCACACGCACTTTGTCTCCCTTTTGCAAAGATGGAAGAGGTCTTGCTGAGTACCTCCTGTTGTATTCCCTTTCGTTGGCACCTTTGGCTCTAGCATCATTAAGTTTAACTTTGATGATGTTTGGAAATCTTGGTTTCAGATTTTGTTTGAACGTCGGGACCGTGGTCCTGAGCTTACGGCCCATGAGAAGTTTGGCAGGACTCTCTCTAGTAGGTTCAGTAGGTGTGTCCCTATAGGAAAGTAAAGCCAGTGCCGGATTTTCCTGTCTCAGAATTGTCTTTGCAATTTTCACGGCTCTTTCCGCCATCCCGTTTGCCTGAGGATAGTACGGGCTTGAAGTTACGTGTGTGATCTCATATGCTTCAGTAAAGTCAGCAAACAACTGGGACCTAAACTGTGGGCCATTATCGGTCACGATTTGCTCAGGAATTCCAAATCTCGCAATGATGCTGACGAGCTTTTGAATGACCGCTTCACTGGATGTCTTAGGAAGAGAGAGAATCTCCAGCCAACGTGAGTAGTAGTCAGTGACTACCAAGAACGTCTTCCCGTTTAACTTACATAGGTCAGCTGCCAGTTTCTGCCATGGAAGTTCAGGCAAGGGTGTAGTGATAAGCGGCTCATGTGGCTGACTTGGCCTATGCTTATTACAGTAAGGACACCTTTGAACCTTTTCCTTCACAGCTTTGCTGATGTGTGGCCACCACACCGCGTCCCTGTACCTCTGGACCCCACCCAGGCCATGACTGCTGGCATCGGCGCTCACCACCGTCCGCAATTTAGGATCAAAAAATTTAAGCACAGGCGCGGAAGAAGTCAAAGCTTTTACCTTTTTAAAGGCTTCATCTTTCTCCGACCCCCACAGCCAAGCCACATCGGCCCTTAGCAGGTCATTCAGGGGGTACAGCACACTTGAAAGTTGGGGCAGGTAACTTCCCAGGAAGTTAACCATTCCAAGCAGCCTTCTCAGTTGAGTTTGATTTTGAGGTGGTTCTAGAGCAGTAATTGCTGTGACTCTGTCTGGGTGTGGAGAAATGCCTTCACCACTAATTCTGTGTCCTAGGAAATTGAACTCTCTCTCTCTCAACTTGCACTTTTGCTGATTAAGCTTTAGTTCTGACTTTCGGATAGTGTCCAGGACCATACTGAGTCTTTTATCATGTTCCTCCATCGTAGACCCGCACACCAGGATGTCGTCCATGTATACAACGGTGCCTTCATGGTCACTCAACAGCTCATACATTTTCCTTTGAAAAATCTTTGGTGCTGACGTAATGCCAAAGGGTAGCCTCTTGAAGCAAAATCTCCCTAGAGGCATAATGAACGTTGTGAGACAGGCACTCTTCTCATCCAAATGAATCTGCCAGAACCCACTCACCGCATCCAGGCTGGAAAACAGTGGGGAGAATGAATTTTTCTCTTTGTACGCTTTCGTTTAACCTTTTAAGGTCAACACAGACTCTTATTTTTCCTGATGGTTTCACCACTGGTACCATAGGGGCCACCCATTCTGTTGGTTCGGTAACACTCTCAATGATACCTACGTTTTCCATTCGTCTCAACTCCTCCTCCACTTTTGGCACAAGAGGAATTGGAATTCGACGAGGGGTAGTGATGCTGTATGGCCTTGCATTCTCTTTTAGCTCTATCTTTACTGGTTCTCCTTTTAGAAGTCCTAGCTCTCCATAAACACTCCCTTCCTCTATATGCTGTATCAGACCTAGGTGGGCTCCAACTGCTCGACTTAGCAGATTGTCTCCCCCTGACTTTACCACTGTAATCCTAAAATGGCAGTCCAGTGTTTTCTTGCCTCTTTTTAGTTGGGTTCTAGCTATAAATTGTCCACTTGCTAGCAATTCCCCTCCAGGACTCTGTAGCGGTGTTGTCACTGGCTTAAGTTTAGGCTTTCGATGTAAGCCATTGTATGTTGTCTCCGTCATGATAGATGTGTCTGCTCCCGAGTCAATTTTGAATGACACTGGTTTTCCTTCGATATTAAGTGTCGTTCGCCATGGTGGTTCGATGTCTGCTACCACTATATCGACAGTATTGCTACATATGTTTTTCTCTGTCACTGATCCGAGGAACAAGCTCTCCACTTCCTCTGTTACTTCTCTGACACTCTTAGTGAAGCATATCGAAGCAAAATGGCCAATTTTGTGACATTTATTGCATTCCTTTCCCCTAGCTGGGCATTTGTCTGACTGTGAATGCAAATGGCCACATCTGCCGCATTTTCTTTTCTTTTTTATCTCCACTCATTTGTTTGCTCCCGCGAAAATAATGCTTTGCTTTTACAACATCAATACTTCCTGTTGCTGCTGAGGCTTTAATAGGGTTTGTGCTATTTTGTGCTTTAACAAGTTCATAATGTCTAGCCATATCCACTGCCGCTTTCAGAGTTAAATCACTGTGCATTTGCATGTTTCTGAGAGAGACTCTTATCAGCTATTCCAATCACTAGCCTATCACGAATTTCATCATCCTTACATCTGAAATCGCAATGCTCAGCAAGCTCATAGAGGTGTCTTATATAGCTTTCCACCGTTTCATTGGCCTCCTGAACACATGAGTGAAAGCGGGCACGTTCGAATATGATGTTCCTTTTTGGCACGAAATAGTCATCAAACTTTGCGACGGTTGCATCGTAAGTTACGGCTTCGTCCTCCCCAAAGATGAATGACTTAAAGATATGTTCTGCCTCCGGGCCCATACAGTAAATCAGAGCACTTACTTGGACATCCGCGCTATCCGCATTTAGCTTGCTAGCAATCCGGTACCTCACGAACCGTTGCTTCCAATCTGGCCATTCCTCCGGCTTTGAAAAGTTCAGTTGCTCTGGAGATGCAAATTTTGCCATCCTCACAATAAAGTTGAGTCCAGTACTTCTGACAGCATGCATCGTTCTCCAATATTCTAATCTTTTGAATCGGGGCAAACATCAGACTGAGACCGCTTTAGGTTTCACTTTCGTTTACTTTCGCTTTCCATCTGAACTGCACATGCGCATACAGAACCACCTGTGACGTAAAGAACACATCAAACAAACATCAAACAAATCACTTCTCATCACATTTGGCAAGCACCACTAATAAGTATGCAAGATAATAATAGTGATGTTTTGCTTTGCAAGCACCACTAAGTAAGTGAGATAATAATAGTGATGCTTCGCCTTTGGCAAGCACCACTAATAATAATAATAATAAGTATGCAAGATAGTAATAGTGATGCTTTGCTTCGCAAGCACCAATAATAATAAGTATGCAAGATAATAATAGTGATGCTTTGCTTCGCTTTCTCAAGCCAACTTAATAAGGTCAGGCACAAAAATAACTGTGTCCACGCCTTTTCAGTGCTAATTCGTCACTGTGCGTCTTCAGTAAATCCTGACAGTACTATTTTAATGCCAAAGGACGGTTTGCGCTGGCGAAAGCTGTTAGTAAAAGTGGCCCATAGAATTATGGTGTTGTTTGTGTCTGAGTGAGACAACAATTCATGTAATTTGAAAGATGCAGTCACTGGATGCATTTTGTGTCAAAACAATGGAAAATGATCCACAGTTTAGCCCATATAGACTCAGGGCTGCCAACTCTCATGCATTCAGCGTTGAGAATTGTTCATTGTTCTCACACTCTCACGCCACACGTCCATTTTCTCATGCAGTGAAAACCCTCAGACAAAAACAAAGCACCCTCAGTTGACACTGTAATAATAGGATATTAGCAAAACAGATTTGGTAAACGCCAGTGCTTTGGCGCACAATTTGTGTTTGTGCTCTTGAAAGCATGAAGCATTTATTTTTACAACGTGTTTTGCAGCGTTGAGCAATGCAGCCATTCACAGACATATCTACTGATTTCTTGAACACCTCTGTTTGGCCATTATGTTCAAGTTGGTCAGAATTTACTCACCACAGAAAACGTCAGATTTTTTCCTGCAAGCTTGAGAATCCTCTCATTGTAAGTGTTGACATAGACATGATGCAAATAAGAGATCTATTGTGCGTTGTAGAGAGCCTCATTGATTATAACAGAACACTGAGATTGCGATAAAACTTATGTCAGTGACAGCGTTTTAGTGATTATATGGAAGCTCTATTTGCTTGCGCTATTTGCTAGGCTACATAATACAAATGCGAGATTTCACAAATTGCAATGACTGACCTAGTAACTAGCAATGGACGGGGAAAAATATACTTTGTATACAGATGTGAATTATGCAATGTCGATGACTAATAGTTTAATAGAAAAATATTTGAATTTTGGTATCAAATTATTTTTTAAATGCAATTGCAATTATTTGTAAAAATTATTTCACTGTGCGTTGCTATTTTTGTTGTGTTGAAAAGTTATACGTTTTGCAGCACAGCAACAGTTATTTTACATCATTTTATGATAAAAACACAGCACCATTCATCATGACATTAACTGGTAACTACTAAGCATGTCCAGATGTCAGACAAGACTCTATATATAACCCCAACCAAACCCCCATCCCATCCGCTGTGGGTATTTTCACTCCAAGTTGAACTCAAATGTTGGCAGCCATGTAGACCATTGTGCCTGAAGTGATTAATAAATCAAAATACCTTACAATTCAAGTGTATATATGTTAATGAATGATATTTATTGCATTTCAAATTAGGCATTTTTGTGTGGATTTGCGGAGGAGTCTCCATGCACACCTGGCTTAGAGTCGGAGTTGCTGGTTTTTAAAGTGCACAGAGATCACCTTTACAAGGGAAAAACACTAGGAAGAGGTAAGCTATATTCAAATATCTCTAGCAAATTAATGTTGAGAGCTTTTGTTTAAATATTTTTTAGTATTTGGCTGATTAATCTCTCTACACAATGCAATCAGATATCTACATACACCAGTTCTTCTATTTAAAAAAACATTTTTAACTAACTATTACATTCAATCAAATTGTATACATGCACTGTATCTGCTAAATTTGCTGTCATCATTGTTCAATTGTCTCACTCAAGTGTAAGTGTTGTAGCTCATAAATAAGTGTTATTTAATGATATATGCCACTGATGCTGCGTCAATAACTTGCGCTATGCAAACATCCTCCAGGTGTTATTAAGCCTGTTCATTGATTGGCTATCACCAATTCATTGGCTAATGGTGCTAGAGCCACCCTCTGAGGCATTACGTCACCCATATCTCCAAAAGGACATAACATCGGTCCTCTGATGTTTCATATTCATGAAGCAATTTAACTGCCCCATGTCTTGTTAGAATTTCCAGCAACCCACAGCGAGAGTTATCTTTCCACATAACTTTGAACCACAACTGAGAGACATTTGTGGTTGAACCTCAGATATCCTGGAGAAAGATGTCCTATCTGCTGGATCCTTCTTTTGCTCAGTCTGGGTTTTTCAGATACATGGTGAATGATTTCATTTGTAAGTTTCCCTGGTGGGCTCGAGAGCTCCTGTGAATCAATCCCACTCCAGCTCTCAGCAGCTTCCTTGAAAAGAGCAGAGAAGTAGTGTAACTCTGCCATGCTGCTTTGTTATGGTTATGAATTCCTTTTTTAGAAATTGAAGGAGGCACAGATGCATCCTTTTAAGCCACAATTGATGTGCTACTTTGGAGGGTGGTGCTAGTGCAATCAGCTAATGAATTGGTGTGATTCTTCATGTGCTTCAGGGTCTTCCCAATGCATCAGCTACTGACACAGTGTATCTTTCCCCACCCAGGGAACCAAGGTTACATACATAATAAGATGTTTTGTTTTACCAATTGATTCCCTTTCTGATTTCTGACAGTAAATTTGAATACATGCGATGGAAAAACAACAACACTCTTTCAGTCTGTTGACAAGCGGTTTGATGTGAACATGGATGGGACTGTTACACTGAAGAGACCACTGACTCTTCATGAGGCTTACGAGGTGTTTTCAGTGCATGCTTGGGACGCCAATGGCAAGAAGCACACTGTATCTATCAGAGTTGAATTTGTCCAACATCTTAATGGGCATCACAAGGATACAGTCATGAACATCTCCTCTCCACAGGTACCAATCATTTCCTTCAAGAAACTGCTGTGCAATACAATACAAGCCTGCTGGACATTTCCGTTTTGTTAATGTGTTAATTTATTATGGTACTTTAAATGGACACATTTAGTTATCCATTTCTATACATGTTTAGGGCCCACCTGATTTAGCAAAAAAAAAAAAAAATAATTGGCAAAAGGTCCAGTGCATATTTATGTTTGAGCTCTGGAGAGCATCAAATGTTTCTATTTAAAACACGTTTTGTTCAGCATTGAGCAAAGTGGCCAATAAAACAGCAGAATTTTTGTTAAATTCTGAGTTCTACACAAGACAAACAAAGTGTAGACACAATGTAAATAAGAGATAAACTGATAGTTCCAGTCTCTGATTCTGATTGGTTAAGCTGCATTTGAAGCCATTGTAAATTCCTCTATTCCTCTTTGACCTAATTACATCAGTATTCCTGTGCCATCTGTGCTTTGCGTGTATCATGTATTATGTATTTCAGCAAACACTGTAGCCACAGTAACAGAAGAGACATCAAATGAAGAAATAGAAATAAAATGGTGCAGATGTCACTGAAGCTAGATGTGATACAGATGTGGTACAGTCTTTTTAACTAGCTAGCTACCAACCCTCACACAGTGTTTTTTTTTTTCAAACAAATATATAAGAAATTCACACAAGAAAGATATGCATTATTAAATTTAAAAATTCACATTAGGTTGCAATAGAAAGTTATTACAAACACTAAGTGAGTTTTGAGCATAAACATTACAGGCCAGTTGTTCAACAGTAATCTGATCAGATTCCGGAAAAGGGCTGTTCAAAAGAAAAACTGGATTCTGAAATTGGATTAGATCACAAAATCTAATCTTGGTTTTGATCTGGATCAAAGGGTATTTTTGTGGTATTTAAAACTTTTTAGTAGGATAGGAATACCTTTGATCCAAAAAAAAAGAAACAAAACAAGATTATACTGATCCCAGAAAAAACGTGGATTTCAGGAACAAAAGTGTAATAAAACTTGAAAACTGGTCCAAAAATATAACATTTGTAACGTAATATATCCCCAAAGAGCTGTCAATATCAAACAAATATATTTAATTTAAAGTGTTTTTTAGGAGCCCACCAAAGGTGGAGCAATCAAAATTACAATCAAAATTATTTTTTTCCTATGATTCTCTGAGTCAAGTCAAACATATATCTAGGATTTTTTTTTTTTTTTTGTCATCTGTACAATTATTCCACCATTATAAACTTTTTTATAAACCTACTTTTTCTAACTCCTCCTAGACCATTTGTCCAATTAATGCCAAATTGTTTTATGCATTTAGAGACCCTGATGACAAAAAAATATCAAAAGAATTTGGATTCATCAAATGGTTTAGAAAATATAGTTTAATAAGTGTATGGAGACATGGCTACAAAATAAACAAGCTTGTATCTTCTAAACGGTTTGACTAATTAAAATTATTTTGATAACTTTTTGTCATTAGTGTCTATAGATGATACATGTAAAATTTTGTGTGAATCAGTCAAGTGGTTTAAGAGGAGATCAAAAAATATAATTTTGCCAACTCAAAATGGTCGACGGGCCACAACACGTTATACTAATGTTGTCTGCTAGAGGGAACCACAGGATATGTATATTGGTATATTGTTGTCTTATATTGTTGTCTTCCTTTACATTTAAATTTACCAAATGATGTCTGTGGTTCACATAGACAATATCAGATATTAGATAACTGGGTAACACTTTACAATAAGGGTACATGAATAATCATGTACTGATCCCTAAATTAATACTTAATTCATCAAATACTAATGATGATTAAAGTTGTTAACTAATCATGAATTAATGAAGAGCTATCCTTAACTACAACTGGAGTCATATAGATTCACGCATGAATAACGGCAGCCTTAATTACATGTTAGTACAAAAGGACTATAAATAAACTTTATTTGCCAACTCAAAATGGTCGACGGGCCACAACACGTTATACTAATGTTGTCTGCTAGAGGGAACCACAGGATATGTATATTGGTATATTGTTGTCTTATATTGTTGTCTTCCTTTACATTTAAATTTACCAAATGATGTCTGTGGTTCACATAGACAATATCAGATATTAGATAACTGGGTAACACTTTACAATAAGGGTACATGAATAATCATGTACTGATCCCTAAATTAATACTTAATTCATCAAATACTAATGATGATTAAAGTTGTTAACTAATCATGAATTAATGAAGAGCTATCCTTAACTACAACTGCAGTCATATGGATTCACGCATGAATAACGGTAGCCTTAATTACATGTTAGTACATGTTTGATAGTTAATGCATTAATTAACATTTATGGCTAAACTAAATCAAACAGCCTCTTCTAGAAATAATAAGAAATACTCTGGCTTTGAAATAAATTAAAATAATTTAATATCATAATTTGAGCTTTTGACATCTTCAGCTTTATGATTGATTTTGTCTGTTTTTTGTTGTTCTCTTTCCCTTTAAACTCACCCTGCTGTGACTTATAAACAGCTAAATAAAAATAAAACCTCAAAATCCACAAAGAAAATTTGTAGAACAATCCTGAAGAAATGCCCGGAAACAGTTCACTCTCCATCCAGACGCAAGCCGTGATGATATTGTACCTCCACTCTCTGACTTCTTGAAAATCCACACCACATCTCTTAACCGAGTAAAATACTCACTGTGTTAGTGCATGTGTATTTGATAGTAAATATAAAATAAATCATGAGCTGAGTTTAGTAGGTAGTTAACAGTGAATGAATTATGATTGGGCCCCCTCAAGTAAAGTAATGTCAAAATAATGCATTAACAAGCCATGAGTTAATGTTAGTGTATGGGTAGTTAATAAGGAGTTAATTATTGTGGGCCCTCTCAAGTAAAGTCATGAAAAAATAATGCATTAACAAACCATGTGTTTATGTTAGTGTATGAGTAGTTAATAATGAGTTAGTTATGATGGGCCCCTCAAAGTAAACTCATGATGACACAATGATGCATTAACAAATCATCAAATAAAAACCATTAAATATGCTGTGAGAGTCATCTTTATTCCTTTACACCACCAGTACAACAGACAACGATAAAGGTTATTTATAATCTATAGTCATTTATTATTGTATTGTATTATTTTTATATTATTATTTATTTACATCATATATGGACTCAAAAGAAAGTCCAAACATACCTGTAAATACACCTCCAGAAGCTAATGCTAACTGAAGCATACACAATTAAACAACAAAATAATACCATTGATTACTGTACATAACTTCCAATAAAACACAGATGCAAACATGAATTTAATTATTAATTCGGTTTACAAAAGCAGCCAACATTTATTAGATTAAACTGCCAGCAAACCGCGAGCACCTAGAGTGCGACACTAGTAAGTGTTCCACCAGAAACAAAATCTAAATACTGACGTTATGACTAAACATAAACTATCGTATTGGCCCGAATATAAGACGGCCCTGATTATAAGACGACCCCCCTTTTTCCAGATGTACCTTTTGGAAAAAGGCTTTTTAAAAACCAAATCTTGTTTTTTCTCAGTAAAACA